GTGAAAACCGCTAAGAAATCAGGAGACACCGACCAGAATTCAGTGATGGGACTCGGGGGTGGGGTGATGGGTGGTACGGGTGTAACTGAGAGGCGAGACTTGGGGTAGGGGTCCCTCTCCGGAGGCACCCAGCTCGAGCTGTAACCGAAGAAAGAATAAAAGACTGATCGGAAACCTTCACTCGGACTCGGCGCACTCAGCGGGATCCTAGGGTCGGACCCTGTTATGGTGGCTGGCTTGCGTAAATCCCTAACAATCAATAAAAATTAATGTTTGCTGGATGCAAACTACTTTTCCTAAGCTTAAGAAAAGGGGTTTATCTATGGTGCTGCAACATTTTACTGATTTTAGAAAATTAACTTTCAAAGCTATTTTTCTTTTGTTTATATCCTAATGCTTATTTCCCATAAGCAGCGGCAAGACAAGTTCCAAGAGTAATTTTAAAGATGACCTTGTATCAGGTATCAGTTACTTAGCCAGAAGAAAAACCTGCTCCATTGTAGGCTGATCAACATCCACTGCTCCTCTTGCCAGTTAACTCCATATTTTACAAGATTCCCTCTGCACAAAGTCCAGTGTCTCTCAACATCTCAAGTAAGTTTTGAGGTGTTCATTTTCTAAATAGCACAGTATGTCCACAAGCCCTTGCCTTTTTTTTTTTTGGGGGGGGAGGGAGGGGATAAATCCAAAGCTACAGTCTTAAATTTGATTTGGCACCAAGTCTCTCTCAAAATCAGGAGAAAGTAGGGTAAGGTATATTGAACTTCATACAGTAACAGAAATGAAAATGCTCTCTGGTATTTTTCTCAGAGTAGGTAGAAGATCTATCAATCTCCAAATATCCATCTGCTTGTGTAGGATTTTTCTTTTTTTTTTTTTTAACCAACAAAATTCTGTAGGCTTGTGGAGAACGTAGGAAGTAGGAAACATTTGAAGGAGAAATTGTTAGTGGAAAAACGATGCCACACATTTAGATGCCTCCAAGCTGTAAGAGAGAAAGCAAGCACCTGAGCAGTGTTAGTGGAAGACATTTACCATACCTGTTTAAAACCACCATGCACTAGGAACATTTTGCGATTACAGCGGTGCTGTGGAAGGGCAGCCTCCCTGCAGTACATGCAAGCCTCCAACAGACACCAGTTTGGAGGATCAGCACTTGCTTTGCTACAGCTATCCGTGTTTCCAAACCACCCCTCCAGAGCTCAGAAACCAAAAATTAAAACACTCCACCTCCCCTCTCCAAGTCCTCAGAGCACCTGCACCAGGAAAGGCCAGGCTGAAGATATTCCTAACAAATTCTGCTCAGATTTAGTCCAGTGGTTCCAAATGGCTGAAGAAAAACTAGGAAATGGCCCAGTTGGCCATCATCAATAACAGAAGCAAGTTCCCTGTCCAGCCCTGCCCTTTGTACTTCAATAATTGTACCAGAGCCATTAAAAAAATTACTAACTGTACTGGGAGACAAGGAATAAATCGTACAGCAGGAGAGTAGCCTCCTCTACTAGCAACGAGCCACCACCTTTGGTATTTTTATGCCGTTTCTGACACTTCTACACATTCTAATCCCGATTCAGAGTTTGCAAGGATGCTTATTTCCTTCCCCTCTAATAATCTTGTAGAAGACTTAGTAAAAAAAAAAAAAAATTCAGGAATGGAAACCACTTACAAAACTCAAGGTATTTTAATGACTGAATGACGAAGGAACTACTTATTATATTTACGTAGCAAACACGTATTTTGCTATCAAAGCACAAGCTAAAGAATTTAAGGAAGCCACAAACATTAGTAAGCCCAACATACAGAACTTTGAGTAAGAAGGCATTTTACACACAAGAGTTTATCAACACAAAACTGTTTAATATTTATTAAATGACACAAAATACCTAGATAACAGACTCACTCTCTGAAAGGACATGTATTTACATTATTTACCAACTTAAGAAAGACTCTCTGTACCCATATCAGACTTATGAAACATAAAAAAGGTTTTGCTGCTTTTTGCATCGAAGGATGCAACGGTGATACATGCCCTGTTTGCAAATCTGCATAAACTGTAACTTTTTGATGCAGTGAAAAAGCACAATTTTATATTCTGGTAGCCGAGTGAAGAGGCTTCTGAAAAGTAACAGGGTTATTTTCCTCCCCCACTCCAGACATACTCTGAAGAACTGTTATACAAAAAGTATATTACATTTTTGAATGCTGCTGTACTCTTACAATTTTAGTGTAACGTTTCAAAGAAAATATTCTTCCTACTATATGAAATCACTAAAAAAAAGTGGTATTTGAACATTTCTTTAGATGCACTTTTTTTGTTTTTTTTTAAAGAAAGCGTTAGGGCAAATGATATGTCTAGGAAAAAATGAGAAAGACTGACAAAAAAAAAAAAAGGAGACCAAAATATGAAGAACAGCTAAAGCAACTTAACAATTTGCTAGGGTTTGTTTTTTTTATTAACTATTTACTTTGGCACCTTTGTGTAAACTATAGAACAAAACAACGTTTACAACACATTTGCAATTACAGCATTTAAACAAAATGGTCACTTTTTAAACCAGCCAAGACAAAAAAATAGTCCATTTATGGGTATAAAGATTAAAAAACCTAAAATATATATTTCTAAGAATAAACTGCAATTTCTTATGAACAAGGTGCTATAAACTGCATGCAAGAGTCAAGATTAAAAATGTGTGGCCAAACAGACAAGCTGTGTTATAGCCAGATGAGTTGTGGTCCAAGCCCACTTTAATTTTTTTCTTACAGAGATATATATGGCTCAATAGGCAGGCACATGATCCCAGCAAGAAGTTGCAGAGTTGTACGGCTGGACAATAAATCTTGGCTGCAGCTTTGTCATTAACCAGGAATGAGCGAGACCTTAGCAGAAGAGATGAACAAGTTCTTGGGGAAAACCCATGAAGATACGAGAAGCCTTCTTCCCTCCCCTCTCTCGGCCTAGCCAGGGTCCTCAAAGTCCATTCTTTGGGTTGCTTTAACTAGATTGCCGCTTAGGGTCTGCCTCAGATCGTGGAAGTCTGATGATATTTGAGGACATTTTCTAGATAATATTTTCTGCATTTAAGTTACTGAAATGGATGGGATAAAAATTAAATAAACTTTGCCGGTTAGTTTGACTGAATGCAACACACTTGTCTAATGAGGGAGGATTTTACCAGAATAGGTATTTTACATGTGTAGTGGTGTTAGATTTATATGCTACAACAGACTGAATGGAACCAGTTCAATACTGATATTCTCCTGTCTCCCAAAAAGTTAAGTTTTATGCTCCTTCTCCAAAACACCTTTTTAAAAGGAATCTTTTATTGGCTAAAGATACAAAACACATACAAGAAAAAGGAACACTGAATGCAAAATACAGAAAGTTTTTTTTGGGGGGGCATTCTTTCCTCCCCAATGGATCTCTATTTGAACTAATACTTGAAGATTTGCAGGAGCAGTCTTCAAGTTTCCTACCAGATAACTCTACTGTTAGTATTTTTCTTACAGAGGCAAGGGTGGTCCTGGTTGTCTACCAGTGGTTATGCTGCAATAGTGTCAAAGGATAAGGTAGATTTTCTGCAGATCACAAAGAGCTGTATGACAGTTAGTAGAAGGTGACAGCAAGTAATTCACTAGGAGAAAAAAAAACATCTGCTTCATCTGTCAGCTGAGGACTGCATATAAAAGAGCTTGAGAGAAAACACAGCTGGAGAAATTACAGAATTAAACAGTAGATCAAAAAAGCAGTAAGGATGGGATGTGTCAGATACAAAATACGCACACACACACACACACACACACGCACACTCTCCCTCTTTCACACATGCACACCCCTGAATGTGGGATCACAGTGATAAAAGTTATAGATCGTAGAGAGCTAAGTTACACTGCCATTGAACAAAAGTAACACCTTACTTTCAAGAAACATCTGGTATTCCCCAGGACTATCAGTGCCTGAAAGAGGATGAGGTTTTTCATTGTGCTCTGCAACACAGCTGATCGTAAGTCTAAAGCCTGGCTGGGTAAGGAAGAACTGTTATGTGGAGGAGTTACCTTTTCTGCTGACACTTTTTTTTCCCATATATTCCTGGCACATGCTGCTATAGCAATAAAAAAATGCATTTTGTTGAAACAAAGCTCTACATTCAAGTGACTTATTCTCCCATGTCTTATAAAGATGCAAAGAATGCTCTCTGGTCATCTAAGAAAATATATTTTAGATGCCTTGTAGCAATACTTAACTTTCTATATGAGAGGTAGGCTTCTGGGTTCTCGGAGGCCTGCCACATCTAGGGCTGAGTTCTTAAAGCTTTAAGTTAAAGCAATCCAAAGCAGGACAGTCTTAGAAGAGCTGCCCTGTCTAAACTTTGAGGTTAGTTCAAGTTTAGAACGTTGCAAAGCAAAACAAGTATTAAAATCCATTTGTAATTTTTGTTCCTACAGCTTTACCACACGAACAGTGTGGTTTTCCACAGATACCTGTAAATAGATTCTCTTTTCTAGAGTATTGCTGCCAAGAGGTGAAGGCCTCCTACCCATGACTAGTAAAAACTGTAACTTTTTCCATTATGGCTGTTTTATGCTTATTATTCCCAAAGGTGAGCACTAAGTCTTATAGGCAAGCCATATAAATCTAATCTGAACTTGTTTTGTTGTAGCAGTTATTTAAGAATGGTGTTTGTATATACACTATATAGGCCCACACTGCAAACTTTATACATCGTTTTATATTGGTACCATTTTGTCTTAATTGCGACCAAGAATATTTTCCATTACATCAGCAATAAGCATAGCTTGGCTTATTCCCCATTTTCCCTCCCTCAAGGGAAAAATCCAAGTGTGGGCATCAACCAAACCAATGGTATGTTACTAACTGAAATGCATCCTGTACAGTAAATTAAAAGTTTGCATGCAGTTTAAGCATTTTAAAGGCTATTTTCTTATATTAATTAACCTTCTGTTTCCATTTAAAGGTGTGAAAGACATCTGTCAATATATCAAGGGACTCCTCTTCAGACCCAGAGACAAATGGAATCACAAAGACCAGGTACTTTCTTTCAGCTTCCTGCACATCTTACTAAATAACATGCAAAGAGTTCAACAGCATTCTTCTTAAAATGTAAATAGTACTCTTTAAATGGGCATGTTAACCACTGAAAGAAGTCCACTCTACTATACTTTTCCATTACACTGCTTTCATTCAATCATCGGTAGTATAAAAAGTCAATTAACGGGATCAACAGGCTAGTTTATCCACTGGCAACTGTGTATGACACCAAGTGTGCAGTAAAACAAAGGCCAACATATGTTTATGCAATATAGTTGTACTGATTCGGGTTTTCTTTATCTCTTTCCATGTAGTCCCTGTCAATTAAGGATTCTATTCTCTTCTTAAGGTCAGCAGGCTGTAAAATAAAGCAGATGTCAGCATTATTACTTTGCAGTCAACATTTCTCAGTTCTTTCTACTTAAGGCAAATATCCATACTGTTTAAGATGGCTGAGGAAACAGAAATCACAATTTAAAAAAAACCAAAAAAATCCCTTAAAGCACCAAAGCTTCTAAAGTCTGCAATGTATAATTGATTGAAGAGAAAGTTACAAAATTAGCTTGTCACCTGCAGCTAAGCACAGACTTTTTAAAGCAGGGAAAGATATTTGCTACTGTTTAAACTGAACTCTACTTTCTAGAGCTGCAATTCATGCATTAGGTACCAAAGCGTTTCTATTTCTGACTTTTACCTGGTAAAAGATGGTACAAGTTTCATTTTATCTTGATGCGAGTGAGTTTTGCAACAGTTTGGGTGCCCTATGATTTTGTTGGCTGAACGATTTTATAGAAATGCCTCTGATAAAGAATGAGGAAAAGCACTTAAATCATCTGTTATAACCCTGCAAAGCCCAACTGCAGTTTATGCAATACTTATGGGCCTGCGGGAGCTTAACATAGTAACAAAACAGAATGAGATGGCAGTACCTTCTATTTTACATTTCCATTGATAGAAACCACTGTATATTTGAATTCAAACAGATGCATTGTTGTCTATTTGAAAATCCACTTCCATTAGTACACAATAAGCAAGCTGTTCATTTTTATATTGGAGCTGTGGGCTTCTTTAGCTTTGAGACATTCACCAGTATCTAATTTTCATTCCATGTGTGCGTGTGCATTAGCCAATATAATCTGGAAAAACCACTGTACATTTGTTGGTTACTAATTTATTAAAAAGTATCAACCAAATTAAGAATCAAAACTAATTCTGCATTGCGTATCTGAACCATTTTCTCCTTGTCCCCAAGAATGCATTGCCACAACGCTGAAATGCAAGAAGAGCGTACAAGGAGAGCTAGCTTCACAGTTACTGCTAACAGACTCTGGTTCTGAAAGCCTTTGGTAATAGGTTTTATTAACTTACTAAAAGCCTGAGGTAATATTCAGATAAATGAATGTAACTGGCACTGTAAAAATTCCTGAAAGTGAGTATTTGTCCTTCCTAATAGTAAAAAGATGCATGTTTTAGACAGAAGCACTGTTTAACTGAGGACAGGCCAAGGAATACAAAAAGAAGTAATGAAGTTTTAGAAAAAGAAAAACCGGTACTACACCTTTACTGGGAATTTAAGCTGGTTGTAGACCTCTGACACAAGCAGGTTATGACTCAGTGTCTTGCGCATCTTCATGATTCGTACAATTGCAGCGTCAATCTGGTATTGCCGGTCCTGGAATACTCTCTCTGTAGTGCTTGCCTGTTCCTCTACCTGAAGGATCCATTTAGAGAAGTTTTAAACGGAACACTAGAACTGTCAAAACAATTATTCTTCTTTGTATCTTTAAGACAATTCTCAGTGTAAGACAGTAAAATGTCTGCTGTCAAATATTTGACATAAGTCCTTTACAAATATGAAGACAGATTATTAAAAAAACCACTTGTACATGGAGTTAAAATCTTTGCACAGATTTTACATTGGATGGGTGTCAGGGAAAATTCACTATGAACTTGTTTCTATGTTCACAAACCATTCAGTAAAGCTCCAGGGAATGAACAAGGGTGAGAAGAACATTCACTAATTGCAACTTCTCTTAAACAACCTTATTTAGAGACATCTAGCACCACTGGTGTCTAAGTTAGTATGGAAGCACACATTTAAGTCTGCATTGTTAGGTATGTGCTATCATCCAAATTATACGTGTAACTTTTACAAAGATACTAGTACATACGTTACAACCAAGTTGAAAAAAGCTTGTAAATGGGCAGGCAACAAGATACTTAACCCAAGGATCTGAACCCCAGAGGATTCAAAAGAATATACCGTTTCTTTCATCTGAATTTGGTTGATCTTTATCCTGAAGAGCTTATGTCTGAAATCATCATTACATGTAAATTTATCGCCGTCTTCCACATCTTTGCCTTTGGGGCTTTTAGTCAGTACTCTGGCTTTGCCACAAGCCAGAGATTGAAGCGTCCTTCTCAGTTCTCCATCCTCTAAAGCAGAAACAAGTTGTTTAGGGCTTTTTTTAGTAAGAACACTTGGAAGCAGTCAACTGTTTTCAATACCAACCTATCCCAGTGGCTTGCTTTATCTCCTCTAAACTGAACTCCTCTCCTTCATTAAACATGAGCAGCACCAGTGTTTGGAACAAGGAGACCTGAAGTTCTTTTTTGCCCTGTCACAAGGGAAATTAACAGACATCACTAGGCTAGTTTTTGGTTTTTGTTTGTTTTTTTGTGGTTTGGGGGTGGGGTTGTGGGGAGGGAAGGAACAAATCACTCTTGTATGTCAATTATTTCACTTAAAGGATGTGATTTGGGAATATGAAAGAATAAAATTTACTGTTCACATTGTGTTTACTATGAAATGCAAAATAAACCAGAGGTCAGAAGGTTAGACTACTATATCCAGTGACAAAACTCACCCAAGATATGCATCAACTTACTCAAGACAAATCTCAAAGCATTGACTGCTTAAAATTACAATTTGAAAGACATTTAAGTAAAAGTAACACAAACATTAGTTTAAGAAGCACAGTATTAGGAACTATAGGATCTCTGAAATAACCAAGTTTGGTAATACTTCTTTTACTATTAATATTTTTCAGAAAAATAAACTGGTAAGCATTCCTATTCCATGAGAAATTTTCTTGAAATGTGTTTGTGCGCACAAAGAAATATTGAAGTGGAATAACTGGAAGCCCTTTAAGAACAGCTGTGTTCTTGTACAATCCAAAACTTTTCTTTATTTCAGCCATGAAAAGCTTACTGTAAAGATGCTTAATACTGTCAGATGAAGTAAGGTCATCTGTGGAACCTGGCCTATTTTGTTTTCCCTCCCCAGTATAAAAATTAGTGCCATTTTTAATATGGAACTAAACCCACTGGATATTTTCCCCAAGTGATAACCAACTTTTTTTTTTCCCACCAATACAGAAAACAGATGCATCTTCTTAGACCTTAATACATCTACTTCAGAAACTACCAACTCTGGAAATGATAGCAAGAGGTAAAAAGTTAAAAGTAATTGCAAAAGCAGTGCTAAGTTTTCTATCCAGCACAAAAAAAGCATCCTGATATATCCCTAAGGTACAACCCAGACTTGGAATCTGGGCAACAGGCAAAGCAACAGGAATAAGAGAAGCAATACACTCACCTCTTTAAATTCTGCTTTTAGTACACAGTGTCCTAGTGTTGACTGCCACTGAAGTTTCCTACCACTGTGTTTTCCTAAATAAAAGGTCTTGAAAATCTCCTGCAGTTTTACCATCTAAAGGAAGAAAAAACCCAAAACACTAAAACACAATTTCAACTTTAAAAGCATCCTTCCCTCCTCCACAATCAAATAAGCCTTAAATAAAGGCTCAGAGGGATGAAGGGAACTGCAAGAAAATAAACTTTATTTTAAAAAGACACTTCTGCATTTCTTTCTAGAGATTATACACATATTTAAAAACAAGCTGCAGTTGATATCCAGATGCGTTACTGATAGGCTGATACTTGGTATGATACGTCTATATGCATTACCTCTGGGGGCAAATGGACCTCCATAGGCACGTAGGTTGGCCAATAACCCATAGTCAGAATATTCACTGTTAGTTCAATGTTGCCAGGTACATTCTGATTTTGCATATACTGCAGAAACAAACAAAGTAAATTGAAATAAAGCAATGTTTATTAAACATACTTCAGGTGGAACTGAAAAGTTAGAATAGGCATTATGAGAGCACAGACAAGTGACCTTATGATGTCTTTGCTATATAAACTGTGAGTTACATAAAAGAAAATTAGGATAAGAAAAAGCACTTTTCTGAAGTTCTAAAGGAACTCCCATACAAGAAGAAAACAGCAAAAGAAGTGTTTTAGCAGGCTGATGTGAAGATGTACCTAATTATGTGTGAATGGAAGAAAGAATGTTAAAATTTGCTTGTAATCAAAACATTACAGAACCCGCCAGAACTGATGGGCAAAAACTTACAAGTCAGTCCATCAGAATATAGTGGGGTTAAAAATGCTTTATAACTGGTGTTAAGGTTTTATAAGTTTACAATTTTTCTTTTATTACTGCAGTTTTTTTGTTAAGAAGCCTCTTGTTTCAGTTCTTTTTGCTTTGTTGTTCAGGAAAACCATTAATAAATTCAGTAAAATTTTCAAAAGCACAGACAGCACAGAATTAAGAAATAGATTCTGACTGATTTTCAGTAGAGACTGTTTTCCCAGTTGGGCTTTTGTCCACTCCTTTTGAAACCAATCACCTACAAAGTCCTCTTCTCTGTAGTGAAAGAACATTACAGACAACTGGAAGAATTCAAAAGGAGTTTAACTCAATTACAATAGAAATGTTCACAACTGAAGACATCCTGCACCCTCTTGTTAGGCTTTCTGAGAATAACTCATTCAAAAAGCAAGTAAATGAAGGATCCATGGCAGGCTTTCCCACAGTACCTGTTTAAATTGTATCATTATGTCTTTTGAAAGCTCCATATCTTTAAACATTCCTTCAAGTTTGCTGGTGAAAGCAGCTCCACATTCTATGAGAGAGAAAATGTAAAGCTTAAAAATTAATCTTGTTTATTTTCAACACCATAGAGTAGTTATTCTAAATATCAGAATGTTCTTTGAAGCAAGATGACCTGTATTCAGCATATGTTCTTACATAAAGACTTGGATTCTAATTAAGATACAGAATAAGGTTATAAACAAGAAGGGAGAAAAATGTTTTAATGTGGCAGCTATTTTGCAACCCAGCTGTTTTTCCACGTGGACACGACTGTTCATCCTAGGACGCCACTGGCAACCTGTCACTCAGACAACAATTCTAATCCATATCACCTGCCTGCCAAACTGTCTCTTGATGACAGAACAAGACCAAGTTCCAAATACCTTACTCTTACCCCCCAAAGACTCCATCCCATGCAACAATGACGATCAGACTAGGAGACTGCTAGCTGGCAGCTTCACGTTTCAGACCTTATATGGAGTGAGTAACAAGCAGAAGTCATCCTCACTGAGCACATCACTGATTTATTCTGCAGGGAACCTCAACTCTATCCCACAGGCCAAGATACACCATGCACTTTAGCAGCAATAGCCAAAAACCAGGAGCTTATAATTGCAAAGCTAAAAGCAAAGTCTCCTCAAAACCCACCAGTCATTCAAGACTTGCACACGAGGTTTTTTCCCTCATGTAAAGGGGAAATACAAACAAGAATTCTGGGAAAGCCTGTTAAAACAACTATTTTTAGAAGAAAACAAGGTGATAGACAGACAGATAGATATTTACCATGTTTGAGTTTGGAAAGCATAGATTTTTCAGCATCTACTGATGCACTCTTCCCAACTAATAGTCTCTTTGCTAGATCTTTTTTATAAAAGGCCTCAAAGACATCTTTTCCTGTAAGAGATGATATTTGACAGTGATTACAAATCATTGTTTGTTTTAAACAAACATTACCTACAAGAGGCCCAATTCAAAGCTCAGTAAAGCTAACAAGGGCCTTCACATTAAGATTTCCACAGATTTTGAGTCCAGGCTTGTTATTGGCATTTTAGCACTCAAACTAGTTAAACAGCACTACACCAGCAAACTGCATCTACAGAGAATGAACACTTGAAAATGAAGACAGACTGCAAAGTACCTTTATGTTACTGATTAAACAACTGTATGCCCACAAAACCCCCAATACTTACCATATATGAATCTAAATATGATCATAATTTTATCCAGCATTTTTTCAAGTTCTTCGTCAGTAGCTTCTTTGTTGCCTGCACGAAGCTTTGAATCTACATATTTAGCTAAAAGAGTGTTGAGGAATAACAAGTTTAGCATATGCTTAGTATCACAGTGAAACAGTAATTTTTAATTTCTTAAAAAAATCTAATCTTGTGAAATCTTTTGGAAGTGTAAAGGATCCTGAAATTACCTTCAAAATCAGTTTCACCACAGCTAGCTTGATGTATTTTCATAGAGGCTATAAAGTTATAAAAACATTATAGCCTAATCTCTTTTTTCAGATAAGCAATTACTGCATCTTAACTTTATTAGCATACATAATGTTAAAAAAAAGACTTTTGCGTATGTAAAAAATCCCAGTCCATATTATGATCTCAAAGTAAAAAGTCACTATTGCTATAGATTGATATGGCTATAATAGAACCAAAAAGATCAGAAGAAAAATATGTAAACCAGTTATTTAAGTGTGTTGACTATACTGCTGAATTTCTCTAGCAGATTACTGTTTGTTTTAATTTCAAATGGTTTGGTAAGCACATTACCATTAGTGAACTAATTTAAAAAAAAGGAGGGCAGAAAGCATTACTCCACATACCTAACAGTACAACAGATTGCAAAGCAGGTATTATTCACTGTGTAGGG